CATAGGTTGACGTCGCTTTTGACAATAGTGCAACTCACATTCACCCCACTGGCAAATATGCATTTTAAAACAAAAGTCCACAGCATCATTTTCATATGCTTTTTGAGACCATGTCGCCACTGAGTCCATGAATGTCGTCACAATCGAACGGGATTAGGTTGGATGGTGTTAGAGGCAAAGAAATTTTGGGGATCGGGTTGGGAAGTATGAGGCAGAGACAGCGGAAGTGAACAATGCAGAAATGTCAGGTATTTTGAACGCAACTGTCTCAAGCGTTTATCGCATGTCATCAAAATTGAGAACGACAAATGGAACGGGGGTGGCTATACAGCTAAAGTAGTCGTAATCACAGGGATTTGATGATCCTCACAGTATGCTCATAGACCATCACGAGTACACGGCCACCCAGCCACCCACGTGTCGATTTCGAAACTGGACGACTACTACACCCTCCGTTTCGACTTGACCATTTGTCAAAGTGAGACCTACCGTCGTTCATCACCTGAGGTGGCGTGTAAGTCATAAACACCAGTTCAAAGAAAAGAACTAGGATGAATACATCTATGTTGATAAGGTGGACTGCTGTCCTCGGTTGAGTTGTCGGAGGTTCAGGGAAATCGGTTCGAAAACATAGGTTTAAAATTAGCGAATATACACTCATTTGCAAACTAATTTGGTCTCCCCTGAACCCAGCCGCATCTTTCGGTTTTGATGTTTCTAGGCAACTGATTGTGCTGCACCTGATGAACCCCAAGAAGGACGAAATCAATCGTGGGCTGTCAAGGATTTCTCAGCAACCTTATGAGTAGTGCATTACAAAATATATAGGTTTAAAATATTTGTCTCCATTTCTGGGTGTAACGCCGGAGGAATAATTTAACCAAAAAGTTCTTATGTGGTACCTGTGGTTCATTTGCAAACTGGATGGAATCGGCACAATAATCACTTTCTGACTGTACGCAAATGTCAAGATGTTAGTTTATCAAGATAAAATAAACAAACGATTCATCATTGGCAGAACAGCCTAGAAAGCGATTAGCTTGTAATTTACACTCAATGTGTAGGAGAGACATTAAACACGGTCTCATTGGGAGACAAATGTCGTCAATACTAGCATTCCCTCAGGTCCTGGGCATAGGTTAATTCAAAGTTTCCTAAGCTATTCTCAAGTGAATCCATTCAGACTGAACCCTCAAAGAGGATATGTACTTCTTACTTTCTGCTCATTATAAATTCACAGAAAGTTTATTTCACTCCCAAAAAAAGAGGCATCAATTATGCCCATTCTTTTCATGACTGCAAGTCAACTTAGTCAGTATCATCATCAGTACTGATCACTATCACGGTTTCCGTTTTTTCTGTTGGTTTGTAGCATTTTAGCAACGCCTTTCTCCAACCACCGATTCTCAACAGTCTGATACATTACCAAGTCTGAGTCAGCGGTGAGGACAGCTGCCTGCCATCTGATTAAACCCATTCACTTTATCAGATTCATTAATAATCCTGGTCTCATCGTCGGGTACAGGTGCCCAGTCTTTGCCCGCATTATTCACAAAAACCGTAGCACCAGCTGCCAGAAGCTTACCACACACGACAAAACGATGAATCTGATAAGTTCGAATGGGGATTGGAGGCGTGCCGAAAACATCTCCAAACATCCATCTAAGCCACAGATGATGTGGCAAACACCTGAGAAGAGATTATGATGTTTGAGAGTTTGTGTCCCATTTAACGCATCCACTGATGAACTCAGATGGTCCGTACCTTGGTAAACTTCCCACTTTTATCAACCTCACATCAGTTCTACATCAGTTATTATAAACTCCATAGTTTGAGGATGCAACCTCTCAGATATATAGAATCAAGAGCTCACTTTGAGCTAAACCCAATATTGTCTGAAATTGTACTGAAACGCATCAGTCGGTAGTTAGTATGTTAGCTGTAAATTCATTAAAGTTATATAAAAACTTTTAAGGATAGAAACTCTAAGGTTGGATGGATAGGCATCCTTTCAATGTATGCGTTAGGAAAACAAGTGAGTATGTCCGTCTGCAATTGTTATGAAGTTCAGGACGATGGTGCATCTCTCTTGTTCCGCGTGTACTTATCCACCCACACAGTACAGGGTATCGGCCCCTTCAAAATATAACTTCTCTGGCACGACATCACTCGGTGAACTTTCTGGAAGTCGAAATAATGGGGGCGTGGATTGGTGTCTGCAAATTGAGTAGCTGCTCACGTCGTTTATGCAGGTAAAGCTTGTAAATAGAGCAATAAGGATAACAACCAGCCTAGTCTGTTGTAGTGCACTGTTTCACATATCCGTGTTCGATACATCCAACCATATGAGTAAAGTAGTGATCAATTTTTCATAGGTACTGTTCGTGGATAGCTGCACACGTTAGGCAACTGATTAGTTCACTCTCAATGAAGCACCGTTTGATGGCTGCCCCTTGGGTAGAAAAGCACTGATTTTGCTAGTTATCTGCGTTTCCGTATTTGGGTAGGTACACAATTGCCATTTCGCTTTCTTTCCGTAAAGTTCTTCTACAACTTGGTAACTCTCATCTCATTACGCTGTACAGTTCAACATGCTTGCGATTGGTCAACCTAAAAAATTTTCTGTGACATGCAACTTAATTTTGGTGAGTCACATCGACTCCTGTTCATAAGTCCACTCCAAATTCTACGACGAAACCCTGCAACTACCACGATACTTGCACAAGTTTCTCCATTTCGACTTCATGACATCACCTTACCTTGCAGGTAACTGAGCGAAGCTGAGGGACGAACTTTTCAAAATTTTTCTAAGATTTTCAATCCCACGAATACCTCGGAGGCACAATGTGAAGGAAGCGAAGCAGAATAGTGAACACGACATCGTTATCTGACCACTGATTTTTGACGCCAGAAGGAAACCGGATAGAGGATTGAACTGAATTCGCATGATTCAGCAGGTATTACAAAATGCTTTTGGAATCTTTCTACTAGCAAACAGTCAGGAAATGTTCTCATCCCCTCCCTGATCCTGACGGAGGACCTGCAGAACCATGAAAAAATCATTATTTGTCGTAATTATCTTTTTGGATTCTGTCTGGTTGTTCCGTTTGCTCGAACCCATAGCCCCGGAGGGGCGAACCCGTATCAGCAAAACTTGCCTTCTGCTAGTACAAATGAGTTGATTGCTTCACTAGGAGGTCATTCTTAAAATAGGTGCTTGACGTTAGTGGTTTCGTGAAGCATCCATTTGGACAGCTTGCTTAAGCACACTTGGAGCCAGAACAGGTCTGCTTCTTAAAAGCGTCAGCCCACACCGACAGTGTCCGCTATTTAAAGGTCAAGAGGATTAAAACCGCAATTATTTTTGGGTAGTCTTGGATATGAAACGAACAAACAACTTTACTCAAGAGAAAGGCTGAACATATATGATGAGCAACGGCATGAAGTCGGATGAGCTTTTTGGAAGTTTTACTTGGTACCAAGGTGGCACAAAACAAATACAGCAGAACTGACAAGGAAAGAATGTGGCTTCCAATTTCCTGATTACTGTATGTGTAAGTCTGAAGAATTCAGTAAACAGGATAATAGAAAACGCGAGTTTATTTATTCTATACCTCAGTTTCTGGAAATCATCCAGTAAATAAAGTCCACGACGAAAACCCGGGGAAACACTGTTCAGCCCTTTCATATTTTTCGGAGAATTTGAAACCGGATGGGATTACTGTCGCCCGGCGTCACCAAATTGACGCACATCCACAAGAACCATCTATTCATCGGGACAAATACCGAAAACATAGTAAGCATTGTTCAGATGTCTTGAATGCCTAATCTCTATGCAACCAAGCAAACAACAGGTGTGCTTACATGTAGAGACATTTATCCAAAGAACTATTCACCGGCCATCCAACAACATGGTTTGGAACCATGTTGATAGCACACGCTTAATAGCACGTTACATTTCGAATAGCCTCACTAAAGTGACCATCTATTCATCTTTAAAAACAACGCACGCGCCAATCGCTGAGCAAATGTTTAACCAAAGATGGCTAATGTTCATAATCAATCAGTTTGCTCGCTGTACCGGGCGTCCTCCATCACTTAGACAATGCTCAACCTATTATAAGCGGAAATATTTATCATTCACATGAGTAGTGTGCAACCTATCGAAGCACTCCTAAAGATTCACCGACCATGTGGTAGGTTATCGTTTAGCAGAAACGCTTTTATACCTAAAGGGGAAAACAATAGATCACTGATAATACGATTGTGCACAGTTTAGAATCAAAGTAGGACTGAGCTGAGAAATACTGGGACAACAGCCGCACTGCTCCGTTGATCTTAAACGCAGAGAAGTTTCCATTTCTGAGAGAGTTGTCTTTAGGAGGGGAAACTACTGTCCGTTCTGTTGGTCTCATCCTAAAAGGTCGGCACGACAACCCCTTCCCCATCCCCATTCAAAACGAACACCTGAACTAATCGTAAGAGACAATACATTTAGGTAGCCCAAAAGCACTCAGGTATATCTGGAAACCTATATACAGTGTAGGATCATAATGATGATAATAATATGTTCAGGGAATTCGTTGACTGAAAAAATCAGAGACTTTACGCGAAGAAATGAAAAAACGAAAACGTCAGATGAAACATTCGGGAAAATCAGCAACAGAATGATCTCAGGATTCAATTTTCTCCTGCTTTCATAGCAATGTCGTGGTTGGGGGATAACGAGATGGAAAAGAATATTGAATAGTAACAAACCTAGAACGTTCTGTGGCGGACCAGAACTAAATGTGACTAGAAAAAAAACAGAGTTTTCGTTCAGACTCGTGGAAGAATAAAAGTACCGGTAGTTGTAATAAATATGGCTGTTCGTTATAGCAACAGTAGTAGTAATGGTAGTAGTATTGACAGTATCGGTCAGGGTAAACAGGCAAACCTAGACGTTCTGTGGCGGACCAGAACTAAATGTGACTAGAAAAAAAACAGAGTTTTCGTTCAGACTCGTGGAAGAATAAAAGTACCGGTAGTTGTAATAAATATGGCTGTTCGTTATAGCAACAGTAGTAGTAATGGTAGTAGTATTGACAGTATCGGTCAGGGTAAACAGGACATGGTCGAAAAATGAGAAAAAACGAGTCCAAACAAGGGACTGAAATGCGAGATCGAATAACAAGTGGCTCCCATGGCAGAAATCACCACCGCAGGAAACTGGCCGGCAAAGGGAGGCAGTCGTGTTACCGTGTGTCGACCTTTGTAAACAGCAGCGGAATTAACCGGGAAAAGAAAGGATATGTGCGGGGCATAGTACTCCGCGAGGTGTGGCTGTCCATTTGGTGCCCTTTGAAACCTGAGGATATGCATCAAATGTTGTGAGTTGAGTGCATGACAAATCATGTATTTGAGTTGACATGAAAATAGGTCTACCATCCTAGATCGATGACCCGGGTCAGACGACAGTAGGAGATCCGTCCACCTTGCCTGCTGAGGAGGCGGTAGGATGTGGCCGAAGTGTGCTCGAGTCATAATCTTCGTTCGAACCATTAACAAGGAACCCCCCGTCCGGAGTGTGTTTAGTGAAGGTACTCCAGGGCACTGTTCCTTGCTGAGTACTTGATTGTTCACAACTCCTTTGGCTATCCGATCCATTCTGAAATGGCCAGTAGGGATGAATGAGGTTGAGATACTGTTACGGAAGAAGATCGGAAACAAAGTTACTTGAGCACTACGGTTGAGGAATTATTCGCACAGCTACGTTATAAGCCTAAAGAAGCACAAAACCGGTCTTGGGCTGTCGAAAAGTTTTCAGCAAACTTATGAGTAGTGTGGTACGTCTAAGCAGCACGTTTTTCTCACGAACAAACCCAACAAACCTAACTAGCTTGTAACCGCCAACAGAGGATTAAATGTCAAGTCGGTCGGATGGTTGAGTTTCACACGAACTAACTGGATGTCTAAAGGGACCTCTTCAAAACTAACCATACCTAGGAAAACCCTTCACACTGCTCTGACTGAGTTTCAAACCAACAAAACTTTTTGGCTTATAAAGTAGAGGGACGAATAATGTTGAATCACCAGCCTCGTAAAATGACGGCGTCCTATTAAGTCGTGAGTCTTCCAACAAAAACGTGGAGTAAATAAAACAACTCTAGGATAATATTATCAAACAGGACGTACTAGTCTGTTTTCGACAAACTGGTGCTTGTCAGACTGCACATGGTCCAGAGTTTGTTGATCAGATGATCCATTGTTCACATGGGACTTCGGCAGCGGATGGTGTGGTTGAAAAGCTGAATTACTGTGTCTGGTCGGTGCATCAACTTCGAGTTCAGCTAAAGGGATTTCGTCCACAAAGGGTACTGTAGTGTCGTCCAAAGGTTTCGGTGGACGGCTAACTTTGCATAATGTTGGGGTTGCATCACCACTCGGGTCACCATTCATGTAGGCAGATAGATCTAAAAAATAGATGTGAGAAGAAATCAGTTCAAAACTTATGGACAGCGATGTGGATAGGACACGACAGGCGGCTTTTGAGCAGCAGACATAAGAGATAAGCAGCATCTGGTGGGGCGTTAGCGCAAAGCAAAAGCTGGCGACAGTCAGACCGCGGCCGGAGAAGCACAAAAACAAACCTGAATCGGAGTGGTCCATACGAGGACGGTTTTGGGACGGGAGTAATTTCAAAAGTTGGGCAGACACGGGCCTTGAAGCCAGAGGTGGTAAACCGTTCGTGTGACCACGACAATGACGAGCGCTTCGACGTGCGACGGCTCCAACTGCTCCGCGAGGACGTAAACTTGATCGCAATACACTACGCTGAGAGAATCTCGGAACAAATGCTGACACACTTGAAATACTTGTTTGTACTTCTGCAGAGTGTGATGCTTCGCTTACAGATTGACTCCTGGGTGTTTCTCTACATTGAGGTACTCCTACGCACATCAGGGGATAGGATGGTAAAAAAGCGGACTGTGGATCAGAAGTTTCTCGCTCGGGCTCGTTGACTGTTTGAAGAGTTCGTACGCAAGGATTGACCATCGAACACGGCCTCTGATGTACAGAGGTGACAGTGTTTGAGTTGAGATTATTCATGGAGGAGTAGGGGTGGAGACACGGCGCATGATACGGGACCGACCAGACGGGCCAGCCTGAGAAGACAATATTCCAGTGGTTTGCTTCAAAGGATGTTGAATGGGGTCTCATGGAACGATCCGCACGGAGCATGTGGGGTGAGGTATCCGCGACTATACTTGGTGCACAGACAGTGCCTGTATTCAACAACACGTCATGCACACATGGAAAAGAGAACAGGCAGTAAAAAGCAATCAACCGAATTGGCCACAGTAATGGAAATGCTCAGGGATTATCATGCAGTGGGATGAATAAAGGTACAGATAAAACAAACGCACCTTCAGTGAAGGGTTGATTAGAAACTTGACCGGAAGAGTGCTGCAAGTTGGCGGGCAAAGGTCGCGGTTTTTGGTACTCATGGAGCCTTCGCGTGGGCGACGATTCAAAGGCATCGGTACGATCCGCTGCATACTGCTTTTCGCCGTCAGGGATTTTGGGTTTCAAAGTATTGCTGTTTTCCGGTCTAAGTGTCCCGGTCGCCTCGACTGCCATAGGGGCCTCCGTCTGATCCCCAGGATGATACAATTCTGAGGTACTGGCGTGTTGTGAAATTTGGATACGACTGGGATGCAACACCTGGGGTGTTAACAACGGATGGTGTGCAAATGCCTGGGATGGATGATATGGCCCCAAATGAGATGGGCCGTTCGAAGTTGACTGAATGAGGATCTGACTACCATGAGCGGAAAACCGATCGCTACCAGAACCTAACGACAGCCTATCTGAACCCACTACGGAATTGGGTCGTAAACCAATGAGTGATGGATGTTGATGGTGGGACTGAGGTTGAGGAAGACATGTGGCATGTGTGCCAGTTTGATAAAATGCCATCTGAGAAGCAGGATGAAACTGGCGGGGGATGACGCAGGCAGAACCCGGTGGCTCGACATTGTAGCCAACGTAAGACGAGCTTCCCTGGTTGGTTGGCGTCCCAGCTCCTGATAAGCCCGCATGTCCGTAGAACAGCATAGAAGAAGCTGGTGAATGGTGTGGAATGGCAGACGCTCGGTTACCGACGGAACATACAGATCCTGCATATGGCATGGTCGGCGACATCATCATTACAACAGGTACGGGTTCGCCACCTGAGGTGGGATAGAGCAGTAATCGTGAGGTACCAGCTGCCGAAGAGTCCTCTCTGTCTACGTAATCGGTCACGGTCGCAGCTGCACTACTTCCACTACCTCGTTTCGAAATTTCAGTATGACCAGAGAGTAACGCCATGGTGCTATCATCTATATTGCATGGAATAGCAAATGTTGACGAAGCCAAAGATGGTCGGCGATGGGCAATACGTGCAGACGGAAAACCATGGCAGCTGGAATGCGTGCCAAAATGACTTGAATGAACGGGATGTCTGGGGCTAGGAGCAAGAAAGGGGACCCCTGCCAAACTGCTTGCGTCTGAATTGGGGTACCGGTAGTGCTGTGGGTCGGGGGATGGTGCCGGTGGTTTGTGTGATGACTGCACATGTTTATCTCTGGGGGGCCACAAATAAGACCCGCTCGTCTTACTCGTTCTCGCATCGGCCACGATGATACTGCCAAAGAAGCCACGGGCGCGACAAGCCAGCAAAACAATGGTAGTCAGGGCAGCAAGGAACAAGAATGCCAGGAGTCCAACGATGACATAAATATGGAGTTGGGTCAACCCCAGTGCATTGGGATCCGGTGTGATTGGGATCAAAGTCTGGAAAAGTACGGTAAAAAAGAGTTCAGTAACGACCCATGATAAGCTATTTACTGAATTAGGTGCAACTCAAATACGAGCCCAGTTGGGATAGTAAAAGCGGTTATAGAATAAAAAGCAGTATGGCATTCCTTCACTAGTATGACCTGGTAAATTCGCTCCTCCTAGGGGTCGAAAATCATAAGAACAGATAGCTTGTATGCTGTGAATAGCGTAACTAATAAGTACGGTTACAGAGAAACTTGTTGGGGTAAAGACGCATCGCAATTAATGGATGAAATGTAGAGAACTGAGTCAACCAAACGGCCTACATGTCGAACAACGAGCAAGATAAACGGATATAGAAAATGGTCCAGCGGTAACACCCTTTCAGTGCCTAGCTGCCATGCCACCCGAAGAGAGCACGAGGGCCGAGATACTGCCAGGCCGCCCTAGCATAGACGAGAGCAGTCGAGATACAAAGGAAGGTCAAACCACGGGACTTCCTATTAGTAGGTTCGCGCCTTAACCAATGAGCCATCTCAAGCTCGATAAGCACAGGTATCGTGGTTTCAACAGGTCACATGGCATCCGCACGTCGAATGACACCACAACCAAACGGTAGTCTTTCGCTCTGGTTTTCTTCCAAGAGGAACTAGCGCATAGTACTTGGTCTTTTTCGAGAAAGTAAGCTCACGCTGGGTCGTCACTGACGAAGACTGCCCAGGGGGATGCCCTCTTTCGGAAGTGTCTCTTTTGAGAGGATATCCGCTGAACTTTTTGTTCAGTCAGCTACCGGCTCGAGTTAGCAAAGCACTGATGTCCAACAGATGCTTTGTAGGTGAAGTTTATGCTGACTCAGATATCATGCCGGTTGTTGAAAATTCTTTGACAGCCCGCGACCGGTTTCGCCCTTCATGGGGCTCGAATATCTCCAATATCGTACCGACTGAAACATGAGGCGGCCTAGTGCAGCCCATTGTTGCCTGGAAACATCACAAACGAGAGATTCAGCTGAGTTCCAGGTGAGTCTCGTGCAAAACCAAATTTGTTTGTAAATGAGTATATTTCGCAGATTTCATACCATTCAGATAAAACTGGTCAAGTCAAGGCCAGTCAGAAGGGATTGGTTACAGCCAGACGCTAATAACACTTAGGTAACTAGATTAAAACAAGAATTAATCGGTGTAGCGGTTTCCCCTATTCCGCACCCTCAAGGTTACAGAGATCAGGCTCTTGATTCGAATGCCCATACTAGGCGGTCAATTGACGTCAGTTTATTCAGTAGGCGTAGCCATTCAGAATAATCATGAATGCTACCGGATTTAGCAGAAACTGAGATGGTGTTAGCATAATGCCTACATGAGTTTCGTAGACAGATGTGCTGCGCAAAGTCCACTTAATGGTTTGATTGAGCTGATATGGGAGATATAGAAGTAATTATCCTTGATACGTTCCTCATAGAAGGTTGTTGACTAGTTTTCGTGAACTTTATATCATAACAAAGCAAAGGACTGAAGTCTAAACTACATTACGAGTAGCTCAACGGATTTTTAAAAAAAAAACGAAATAAATCCATATGTTAGTTACCTTGGTCTGACAATAACGACCACCGAACCCAAGCGAGCAATTACACTGATACGAGCCTGGAGTGTTGACACACACGCCACGCCCAACTTCGAATGGACTGCATAAACCGCCAGCACTGACGCCGTGCGATTCGCTCAATTTGAGCTGTACCGAATCCGTAATAGGAGTGTTGGATGATCGTTGCCGGGAGAAAATCAGATCAGCCAACTGACATTCATTCACATCATGTTCACAGCGAGCACCTTGCCAACCAGCCGGGCAGGAGCAATATGGTCCACTTGGCGACTCCAAGCAAACACCACTGTTGAGGCAAACAGAAGCAGACGACGAACTTGAGGTATGTGACTGAGCAGGTGGGAATGTTGGGTGCATCCATTGAGAGGCACTTGGTGATATTCGGGGACCGATTAGCCTGGAATATTGTAAAATCAAGCGAGCTGAGTGACAACCAGGGCCACTGGGCCAAGAGCCTTTTTGAGCTTCATTTCCATGAGCTGGTAGAGTCTCGTGTAACAATTCACAATGAAGTCCAGACACACCAGCGGGACAAACGCAGCGATAAGCGGCTAGACCAGAGTTCGCTGGGGTTTTCGCCAAACTGGGACCAAGTAGGGCTTGACAACTGGAACATAAATTAGAGTGAAGTTATTAGAGGGTGAGCTTAGCCAGTAGCGGGCAATAAATTTTCATTTTGCTAACAGGTAGTATCCAACTCACCTGCCTCCGTTCTGACAAGGTTGGAGCAAACAAGCGTCGCTGGTGCGTTCACAGTGATGTCCGTGAAATAAAGCAGGACAGTGGCATGTGTACGCTGCCGTGGAACCTGGTTGTGAACCCGGGGTGCAAGTGCCTCCATGAAGACATGGTCCGGAAGCGCAGGCTCCGGAAACAGTTGCTCCTGGATCACATCCATAATCGATATTGAGAGCGCGGACCAAGATGGGGGTCGGATAGGAATGGACGGTCGGACTCGAGAGGGGTTCCGTCATGACAGTTGGATAGTTGATTTGATAAGGAAGTTTGATCTGACTGACTTGAATATCGCGAAAACAACCTACATACAACAGAAAATACACGAGATCAGAAGAAAAAGGACATTGAAGCCGTCGGTCGAAAAGTCACCTAGACATTCGCTAAGATATCCAAATCAATATAACGATGTGTTTATTGTGACGTGGAGGTTCAGAAGCTAATGCATGCAGTAAGCCGGCAACGTTGAAGTGAGCCAGAACACAAGCATAAAACGCCCGTGACTCACCCACAATACCCGAACGTAGTACCATCTCTCCGTTAGTTCCATTGGTCACGCGGTTCTGCTCCACTTGTGGCATTCGTCCGATGACGGGGGCATCAGCAAGCGGGAAAGGTGGAACAAGAGGACCAAAACCGTGAACTGGATCAGCACCGATAAGAAGGCCTTGTTGAACCGGGTCGCCTGTGTCCCAGTCGATCGAAGCAGAACGTGGGTGAATACCGTCTATCGTCAATTCTACCCACCACTGTCTATCCCGAAGAGATGAAGCGGTTCTCGGCTTTCGGTTGCCTGAAACAATTCAAAAAGCTAAAGGTCAGGCAGACGAAACGCTTCAAGAAAGGAGGAAAGCAGATGGTGCCGGTGATAAGACTGACCTTCGACGGGGCCGAACAGAAGAGTATCAACTTCGTCCATACGAGTTGTACTTGTCGATGTGAGCACCAATCGAACACGATGCCAGTGTCCGTCAGACACAGGGTCAGCAGAGAAAAGCCAATCCGCCTCCCGCAC